ATTTATGCCCGCATGACTGTAAGTCGCTTTGGATAAAAGCGTCTGCTAAATGGCTTATTATATTATATTATTATATGTTTCTGAGCAAGAGCTTAGCTAGCTAACGTCGCCATGACATCACCTACAAGCGTTAGTGTGGATTTATATTGGAGAAGCAGTTTTTAGGCATCTTCATACTAAACCATCTTTGGTGAAAGCCCTTAGTGGCGCTTCCCATGCTAAAACAGGCTTTGGGCCAATGTGCTCCCTCTATCCAACTCTTGACTATAGTTATAAATAAAGGATAAGAGTTATCTACAGAACCCTCCTCTGGTTACTAAACACAATCTGTTGAATCTCAAACCACCATACTATCACTCAACACAGTGCCAATAGGTGTCAATTCAAAGTGAATGAAGATAATGTATCCCTGATCCCTTTGAATTGACACTATGGCACTATAGGGATTAGTAGGTGGAGTGGTACGGAGAGCGGGAGAGAGACATGCACATTGTTACAACACTGTATATATACATAATATGACATTTGAAATGTCTTTATTCTTTTGAAACTTCTGAGTGTAATGTTTACTGTTAATATTTATTGTTTATTTCACTTTTGTTTACTATCTACTTCACTTGCTTTGGCAATGTTAACACACGTTTCCCATGCCAATAAAGCCCTTAAATTGAATTGAAATTGAAATTGAATTGAGAGAGAGACAAAAAGAGAGAGACAGACAGACAGCTCTATCACCTCTACCAGGGAGCAACTGAGACCAGAAATCGTCCCGGGGATTTCTAACACACTGGGCCATTTTTTCCCCTAGAGGCCACCATTGTTTTTATCATGGGTATTTGCCTGAGCTGGTCTATGGCCTACCTCAAAAGCCCTATGCTTCAGGTAAAGACAATAAACCCCTGACAGACACGTGTGTTACAATAATAACCTATACTTAGTTAACAAATTAACAAATTGGCTTGAGGTGGCAGCCAGTGACTAAGCAGATGAGGGTTGGGTTCAAAGATCAGTAAGTGGGTGGTCCTCTGTAGCTCAGCTGGTAGAGCACGGCGCTTGTAACGCCAAGGTAGTGGGTTCGATCCCCGGGACCACCCATACACAAAAATGTATGCACGCATGACTCTAAGTTGCTTTGGATAAAAGCGTCTGCTAAATGGCATATTATAATTATTAAGTCACACATGGTACTGGCTCTGCAAATAGTTGCGGGAACTAATGGGACCCATTAAACGTGCAGGAGGCAATAGGATTGGCCCTACTGGGAGTCTATTCACGTGTATTTGGGTGAATGAACATCCCTGTGACACGCAAATAGTCCGGTGTGAGTGCCTCTCATTCCTGAGTGGCGCAGTGGTCTAAGGCAACTGCATCGCAGTGCTAACTGTGTCACTAGAGATCTCTGGTTCGCAATCCCAGGCTCTGTCGCCGCCAGACCCGCTGACCCGGGAGACTCATGGGGCGTGCGCACAATTGGCCCAGCGTCCGTCCAGGGTACGTGAGGGAACAGTGGCCGGCAGGGATCAGACCAGTTGATAGAGCATGGCGTTGCAACGCAAGGGTTGTGGGTTCGAATTCCACACGGGGGGCATATGAAAATAAAAATGGTATTAACCAGACTGTAAGTCGCTTGGATAAGAGCCTCTGCTAAATGACTCAAATGTAGTTCCTTATCTCAGTCTGAGATAGAGCCACACGCTTGGCATTGAAGTTCAACTGCTGACATGCAATGCTTTTGGGCAGTCCGCAGGCTTTTCCCCTGTTGCCCACGCAGGCTTCAGGTAAAGCCAGTAGAATAGGTATAGAAAACGGTCTTACATTTACATTTTAGTCATTTAGCAGACGCTCCTATCCAGAGCGACTTACAGTTAGTGCATACATTATTAATTTTTTTCATACCCCCCTGTGGGAATCGAACCCACAACCCATCAACTGAGCTACATCCCTGCCGGCCATTCCCTCCCCTACCCTGGACGACGCTGGGCCAATTGTGCGCCGCCCCATGGGTCTCCCTGGTCGCGGCCGGCTACGACAGAGCCTGGATTCGAACCAGGATCTCTAGTGGCACAGACCACTGCGCCACTCGGGAGTCTTATATCCATGGTACAGGAATTCTGTTAGTGTTCAAGTTTCATGGCAAATTAATGAACACAAACACTAGATGATCTAAGAATGGAGATTTTGCTGCGAAGAGACAGAATAATTAGATGATTTGTTTTGGTACTGTCCATTTGGAGCTTGTTTTTGGTCACAGGTTCAGGAGTGGCTGAAGAACTGCAGCATTTACCTGGAGCTAACTCTGCAGAGAGCACTGCTGGCTGAAAAGTCATAGTTAATCGATCAATAGTATAACAATAATACTCTTAGCAAAGGTGTTTATCTTTAATTTACAATCTGTTGAAACTATGAGAATGGAAAGGTTCAGAAACATCACAGCACAGTAGAAAAATATATGGCAAATAGAAATCTAAACTGGATGGTGTTCAGAGACAGATGGGAGGTGTTGAGGGGAGCTGAAGGATGGGACTAAAAACAAACAAAAGATAACTAATGTAAAATATACTGTCCGTGAAATGTATATAGTATGTATAAGCTGGAAGTGGGAGCCTAAGTATAATTGTCCATTAGTTTACTCCAATTTGGGGAGGGGTGGTGGGGTTAGGGGAAAATAATAAAGGAAAATATATATATATATAAAAATATATACATTAAAAATATGGTCACATGATGAAATGTGTTCATGATTGTGGTCACAGTGACCCGGGTTTGTTTGTAACGGTGTTTGGTCAACCCGGTTCATGTTGCGCCAGATGACCCGGGGACCTGTTTTGGTGCACAGATGACCCGGTTCAGTGTTGGGGCTATGACCCGGTTCAGTGTTGTGTGCAGATGACCCGGGTTCAGTGTGGTGCACAGATACCCGGTCAGGTTGTGTGCACAGATGACCCGGGTTCAGTGTTGTGGTGCACAGATGACCCGGGTTCAGTGTTGCGGTGCACAGATGACCCGGGTTCAGTGTTGTGGTGCACAGATGACCCGGGTTCAGTGTTGTGGTGCACAGATGATCCTCCGGTTTCAGAGACCAGCTAGTCACACATGCCAATCAATTGGACCCAAGAGAGCGTGCAACACTCTGGGGATGGGCTCTGGGAGTCTGGGACAGGGCCATCCGCTTCGTATTAAACTCATGACATGGAGCCATTCCATGGCTGAGCAGGGTGACCCAGTTGCTCCCCTATTCTCCCACAGTCCACCCACAGTGCACCCACAGTCCACCCACAGTCCACCCACAGTCATCCCACACAGATGGCAAGGGGCCATCTGCCCGGTTGAAGCCTGTCCCTCCCTGGGTGGATCAGGGGCTTTGTGGGGGTAATCTCCTCAAAAGATCAGTAGTGGTGATGGTGGGGGTGGTGTGTGTGTGTGTGTGTGCTTGTATGTGTTTGTTTGTGTGTGTGTGCATCTGCACGTGTGCATGCAAGCGTGTGTGTGTGTGTATGTGGGAGGCCTGTGTGTGTGTACGTCCGTGTGCGCTTGCGTTTTATGAACGTCTGCTCGTGCGCCTGTGTGTGTGTGGTCGGCCTGGCCTAGTCCAGCCATCCACGCCTCAGAGACCTCAGTTGGGATTGGCTAGATGATGGCTAGGAGGAGGCCATGATTAGCTGACTATGGAAGCCTTTGGGGATTTGGCTCTGGAGTAAATTAGCTAGCTGTCACTTAGCGTTTCCGTTAGGGGAGAGTCAGTGACGTACATCTGATGCTGACCATCTCATGAAAGCATTTGAGTCCAGATGGAGAGATGCAAAATGTAGCCTTAGATCGGGGTTCCTTTCTGCTTTTTTGGGATAAAAGTGTCCTCCCGGAGAGGTTACCAGGGTTCTCGAACTGCGGCTACCAAAGTTCTGTCAGGGTTCTGTCAGGGTTCTGCCAGGGCTCTACCAAGGTTCTACCAGGGTTTTGCCAGGGTTCTGCCAGGGTTCGACCAAGGTTCTACCAGGGTTCTGCCAGGGTTCTGTCAGGGTTTTGCCAGGTTCACCAACTCCACTCCTGTAGTTGCCTTTGTAATGGGCGGGTGCTGAACCCTGGTCTAAGGTGTAGCGGAGGTGAGTCAGACTCACACGCTCGTGATGAGGTAGGTTAACCCTGGTCTAAGGTCGTGATGAGGTAGGTTAACCCTGTCGTGATGAAGTAGGTTAACCCTGGTCTAAGGTCGTGATGAAGTAGGTTAACCCTGGTCTAATGTCGTGATGAGGTAGGTTAACCCTGGTCTAAGGTCGTGATGAAGTAGGTTAACCCTGGTCTAAGGTCGTGATGAAGTAGGATAACCCTGGTCTAAGGTTGTGATGAAGTAGATTAACCCTGGTCTAAGGTGTAGCGGAGGTGAGTCAGTCTCACACTCTTGTGATGAGGTAGGTTAAAGCAGTGCTGGATCAAAAGCCTGCACACACCCACACCCTTCTCACACAACCGTGAACCGTGCCGTGCTAGCTCGGAAATGTTCCTTTCACATTGTCCTTTCCAGCATGGTACTGGTACTGGTACTGGAAGAATCAGAGAAATAGGGGCCTGCACTTTCTGATCATATACAAGAGCCCTTAAAAGGGGCAATCTGCAGTTCAAACAATAACAAACTGGTTAAACAGCTGAGGGTATGGGCCTGGAGAAATGTAACCACTCTCAAAATGCTAGACAGAGATATGATACAATGACTGATCATTCATGATATCAACTACAGAGACTATAGTGTTTGTTTACATGTACTTTGTTTACAAACATTGGAGTAAAACAACAAGGTCATGAGGCATCAAGTTATACTCTTCAAGAATCAATGGCTATATATCTCTATATATTTCACTTTAAAGTTCTCTAATGGAGGTACCGAACAACAGTCAGAGCATCTCTCCATCCTTAACCAACCCTAGTGAAGCCAAACTGGTCGTGTTTTGGTCTCTTCAGCCCAGGCCTGATTAGCTGCGTTAATAGGATTTGGCTTCTGGTTCCATGTTCTACGACATGTGCTTTAAACCACAGACTACCCGAGTGACATTTAGCACTTGAACCTGCAGAGAAGCGACACTCTTGACTTAACCCTCGAACGGCAGCCCTACCTACCTAACTGACAACTACCGAACAATCTAAACACATCGTTCAGTGACTGAAAGGCCGTTTTCTGTGTAGCTGAGCACTCGGGGCAACTAACCGCCAAGATGTCGATGGACGTGCCTGAGGATCTGGAGATGGAGGGAGAGGAGGGGATAGACTCCAAGGAGCTGAAGAAGCAGCTGGCAGAGTCCAAGGCAGTTAAAGTGCTGATGCTGGGTAAGTGAACTGAACCCATTGGTGTGACTGTATCGGAGGTGATTTGAAATGATGTGGAAGAAGCCTGAAGGATGTCCTTTTGGTCTAATGGCTAAGATGTTGGGATCCCCCATTATATTTGTTCCCTGTTCATAAAGAAACTGAAAGGATATATTTCAACTAAATACCATGGAATGGAATAATAAAGAGGATATTTGTTGTGATATCAGAGATTTGGTTGAGGTTTAAAAGGGGGAGGCAACATTTAACACAACACACTTGGTCCCTCTGAAAACATGGCCTCAGGATAGCACTAAAAATATTTAAAATTAAATTGAGATTCCCAGATGTCACCTGTTTAAAAACATCTGTAATTTTCACATTTCATGTTTCTGGTGTTGAATGTAGTCCATCAAATGATATGATACTTTCTCTATGGTCCCATTTCAATCAAACACAGACAATAAGTCCTGTTTTTGTCTGTGAATTGAATATTCACTTTGTCTGAACATTGATAGTTAAGAGCAACACGGTCTGAACATTGACAGTTAAGAGCAACACTGTTTAAACATTGACAGTTAAGAGCAACCCTTTATCTGAAAACTGATAGTTAAGAGCAACACTTTATCTGAAAACTGACAGTTAAGAGCAACACTGTTTGAACACTGACAGTTAAAAGCCAACAAACAAATACAGATCAAGGCATAATGTTCTTTCTCTCAGAATGTTTAAGATATATGTGACTGAACCTAGAAAATAAGGAACATTGTTAAAGTACAGATTATGAGCTTTAAGGTACATTTCTCCCTGAGGTACATTGCTCCCTCCCAGAAGAGGTGTAGTCCAGGGGAAAGTCAGGACACTGTGAGGTGCTTAAAGAATCACTACTTTAGGTCCAAGTGAATCATGTCCCCCTGCTGATGAGAGGCCAAGCCAATTACTGGTTTAGTCCAGTCTCCAGATCCAGTCCAGATTGGTGTACCCATCCTCTCCTCAGACAGCATTTACCCTTTCACACTATCATGCCAACCCAATCCAAACTGTACTTTCACACAGTGGTGGAAAAAGTACCCAATTTATCATACTTGAGTAAAAGTAAAAGATACCTTAATAGAAAATGACTCAAGTAAAAGTGAAAGTCACCCAGTAAAATACTACTTGAGTTGAGTTTTAAATATAGTATCAAAAGTAAATGGAATTGCTAAAATATGCTTAAGTATCAAAAGTAAAAAATCATTTCAAATTCCTTATTATAAGCACGGATAGACAGGGGCACTCAGACATAACAAAACACTTGTTTAGAGGCAGATCAGAGGCAGTAGAGATGACCAGGGATGTTCTCTTGATAAGTGCATGAATTGTACCATTTTCCTTTTCCTGCTAAGCATTCAAAATGTAACGAGTACTTTTGTGTGTCAGGAAAAATGTATGGTGTAAAAAGTACATTATTTTCTTTAGGAATGTAGTGGAGTAAAAGTAAAATAAAGTACAGATACCCCCAAAAAAACGACTTAGGTAGTACTTCAACGTATTTTTACTTAAGTACTTTACACCATTCTCAGATCAGCAGGGTTCAGATGAGTTCTCAGATCAGTGGCTGTTATGAGAGTGAACTCTGTTTACGCGTGATCAGGGGTGTATTCATTCCGCCGATTCTGTTGAAAAAATGTTTCTTAAAACGGAAGCAAACGGAACAAAGTGGGGATAAACATACCTGAATTTGTCCAATAGAAACTCTCATTTGCAACTGTTGGACTAATGATTACACCCTAGATCAGCTCGATGCAGGCCAGAGTGTGCAAAGCGGTATTGAACGTCACTGTCTGTCACCTTAAATTTGTCTCTCGACCTGTGTGCACCTACGTTGTAAACTTTCATTCATAGTCTAGGTTGTAGCAACCTCATGATGGGTACAGGGAACATTAGAGTATCACGCAGTAGCCTAAACCTATGGATGTTACATTGAACTGGGTGAACGGAATATGAATGACAGTCATCCAATACGCTGTAATAGAAATAAGGCCATGCTCATGAAAAACAAATCGTCCTCCCTCATCTTAAACGGCACCAACCGCCACTGCTCTACATAGAGCCATTTAAATGTCTTAGTCAAGGTCAAAGATCAGATCCAGAAACAGTATGTATATACAGTGCCCTCCGTAAGTATTGGCACAGTGAAGAATGTTGAACTATACTTGAAATCAAACAATGGTGTTAAAGTGCAGACTGTCAGCTTTAATTTGAGGGTATTTTCATCCATATCGGGTGAACCGTTTAGAAATTACAGCACTTTTTGTACATAGTCCCCCCCCATTTTAGCAGAGCAAAAGTATTGGGACAAATTCACTTATGTGTATTAAAGTAGTAAAAAGTGAAGTATTTGGTCCCATATTCACAGCACGTAATGACCACATCAAGCTTGGGACTCCACACCTTTGTTGGATGCATTTGCCCTTTGTTTTGGTTGTGTTTCAGATAATGTTTAGTTAGCCCTCTGCACTAAAGCCTAGACATTAGATTGGGGACTAACACAAGTTTTAAGGTCTCATGTCTCAGGTTGATTGTTGTTTTATTGCACAGGCAGTGATATCGCTTGATCCACAGTGGCCAAATTAAATGTTTCCAGGTTGCATAATGTTTGCTGTGTTAAGACACAGGACCAGGTTGCATTATGCTTGCTGTGTTAAGACACAGGACCAGGTTGCATAATGCTTGCTGTGTTAAGACACAGGACCAGGTTGCATTATGCTTGCTGTGTTAAGACACAGGACCAGGTTGCATAATGCTTGCTGTGTTAAGACACAGGACCAGGTTGCATTATGCTTGCTGTGTTAAGACACAGGACCAGGTTGCATTATGCTTGCTGTGTTAAGACACAGGAGACATAAAGCTCATCCATAACACTCAGCAGGGAGGTGCACGAAGAAGAGGGCGGGACAACCTTAATCTGGATGGGCACTGAGCCAATGGGTGCCGTCTGTGGCTAGGAGTGGCGCAGGACTTAACCAATTAGAGTAGACCAAATAGAGTTTTGCACAATTTCTATTTTGTACCTTTTATTTAACTTTTATTTGTCCAGGAAGTCCCATTGAGGCCAGAATACATATTTTACATTACAAACATTTAGTCATTTTACATTTTAGTCATTTTAGCAGACGCTCTTATCCAGAGCGACTTACAGGAGCAATTAGGGTTAAGTGCCTTGCTCAAGGGCACAGACAGATTTTTCACCTAGTTGGCTCGGGGATTAGAACCAGCGACCTTTCGGTTACTGGCACAATGCTCTTAACCACTAAGCTACCTGCCGCCCGGTTTCTTCAGCTGGACACAGCATTACAAACATGAACAGCTATCGAGGATTAAAAAAAAAACCCACCATTACGGTGTTTAAATAAAGGTTTTAAATAAGTGACGCCAAGGCCTTTGTCCTGATCTGCCTGAGAGAAGCAGGCCGCGTCCCAAACAGCACCCTACTAAGCACTGATCAGAGGTAGTGCACTATAAAAGAGAACAAGGGGTAATTTGAGCTCAGAAAAAAACAAAACAAGCTGAGCCGTACTGCACTGGCCTGGTTACATGTTGGGGTCGGCCACATCGTATTTTAGTTTTAAAATAACGGTTTTAAAATAATGATTTTAGGTGACATTAAAAAAGGTCTTTGTGGTGAAGTCTCTGACAAGCTGCCTCTCAGATGGCACCCTGTTAAGCACTGGTCAAACAGTGGTGTTTAAAATGAAGTTTTTTGAAAAATAAAGGTTTTATAAGTAACATCCAGGCCTTTGTCCTGCTGTGTTCTGAGTCCCAGGAAGGAGACGTCAGTGATCTCCTCACAGCCTGTTCTGTCAAACTGCTCTATTATCACTCTGTCCCACAGGGGCTCGGGTCAAAACTAGGGCACTATACGGAGAAGAGGGGTTTGGGACGCACCCTACGTCTCGCTGGCCACCAGGTCCAGGAGCATTAAGAGATTTTATTGTCACATACACCGGATAGGTGCAGTGAAATGTGCTGTTTTACAGGGTCAGCCATAGTAGTACGGCACCCCCCTGGTGCAAATTAGGATTAAGTGCCTTGCTCAAGGGCACATCTGCAGGTTTTTCTACTTAGTCAGCTCGGTTTTTCCAAGCCAGTCACTGATGAAACCCTTGTAATAAAAAAAATTACATTGTTGACATTTATTTAACTGTTGTAATAAATGGTATATTTTTGTTTTCTTTCAGGCGCTGAGGAGTCGGGGAAAAGCACCATCGTAAAACAAATGAAGTGAGTTAAGTTACAACTGAAGTACGCCTTCGGGTTGTCTCACTGTGAAATGTGTGGCAGCAGAGAAGTGAGCTGCATTGCCACGAACACACCACTAGGTGGCAGTTTGGATCGTTGAGCCACACGGCAACAGAATGACAGTTTGTGCTGTTTGTGCCATCGTTCTGTTACCAAACTTTGCATCTGCACTGTTCTTGAAGTAAATATGTTTTTTTTAAATCGTGGAATTACTCAACACTAACCCATGTTGTCTTCTGCTTCTTCTTCTCCACAGAATCCTCCACCAGGGTGGTTTTAATAAGGAGGAGAAGGTGAAGTCCAGAGGGGTGATCTTTGGTAACATCCTGCAGTCAGCTCTGTCCATCGTCAGAGGCATGAGCATCCTGGGGATCAAGTACGGATCACCGGCCGCAGAGGTGGGTACTGCAGGCTGGGTGTGTGTGTGTGTAGAATTATACTATAATTAAACAATAAGGCCAGAGGAGGTGTGGTATATTTTGCCAATATACCACGGCTAAGGGCTGTTCTTAAGCACGACGCAACGCGGAGTGCCTGGATACAACCCTTAGCTGTGGTATATTGGCCATATACCACAAACCCCTCCGAGGTGCCTTATTGCAATTATAAACTGGCTACTAACGTAATTAGAGCAGTAAAAATAAATGTTTTGTCATTCCCCATGGTATACCCTGTCAGCCAATCAGCATTCAGGGCTCGAACCACCCAGTTTATAATATACTGTATAAACATGTTATACTATATAGTCACATTATACTATACATATGATACTATACTGTACTATACATATTATTCTATACTATACTATACATATGATACTACACTGTACTATATAGACATATTATACTATAGCGGAGTTGCCAACAACCGGATGTTCCGGATGTTCTACAGTAGTTACTGCCGTTTCTTTTAAGCCTGGTTATGTTACGTTATACTATATTATAATATAATATACTGATGCATGTATGGGTTTTGTTCTCTCTGTGTCACCAGGATGAAGGCAAGAAGCTGGAGAACCTATCCAACTCTACTGAGGAAGGAACCATGCCTCCTGAGCTGGCTGAGTGCATCAAGAATCTGTGGATGGACCCTGGCATCCAGGAGTGCTTCGAGTCAGCAGCTGAGGGCTACCAACTCCTCGACTCCGCTCACTAGTGAGTATATGACAGGGATCAACTGCCAGATTCAGGCACGGGCCGTTTTTTCTTGAGCGGATTGTCAGGGGGCCGGAACATAATTACAAATTATTTGTAGACTGCAAATTGACAGCAAGAAGGCCAAAAAGATATTGTGTTTGACTAAAACACAATCATTTCAAATCTTTCTTACATTTGTATACGATCACATAAATTATATATTTCTGTTATGCATGGGAATACTTTGTAACATATTTCCAAAAATTAAAATCACTTGGAGCTGATTTGCTGGTGTTATTATAGTCTTTTATACTGAACAAAAATATAAACGCAACATGTAAAGTGTTGGTCCCATGTTTCATGAGCTGAAATAAAAGATCCCAGAAATGTTCCATACTCACACATTTCGCTCAAATGTTGTGCTCAAATTTGTTACATCCCTCTTAGTGAGCATTTCTCCTTTGCCAAGATAATCCATCCACCTGACAGGTGTGGCATATCAAGAAGCTGATTAAACAGCATGATCATTACACAGGTGCACCTTGTGCTGGGGACAATAAAAGGCCACTAAAATGTGCAGTCTTGTCACACAACACAATGCCACAGATGTCTCAAATTTTGAGGGAGTGTGCAATTGGCATGCTGACTGCAGGAATGTCCACCAGAGCTGTTGCCAGAGAATTGAATGTTCATTTCTCTACCATAAGCTGCCTCCAGTGTCGTTTTCGAGAATTTGGCAATATGCCCAACCGGCGTCACAACCGTAGACCACGTGTAACCACGCCAGCCCAGGACCTCCACATCCTGCTTCTTCACCTGCGGGATCGTCTGAGACCAGCCACCCGGACATCTGATGAAACTGTGGGTTTGCACAATGGAAGGATTTCTGTACAAACTTTCAGAAACCACCTCAGGGAAGCTCGTTGTCCTCACCAGGGTCTTGACCTGACTTCAGTCGGCAAATGCTCATCTTCGATGGCCACTGGCACGCTGGAGAAGTGTGCTCTTCACGGATGAATCTTGGTATGGCGTTGTGTGGGCGAGCAGTTTGCTGAAGTCAAAATTGTGAACAGAGTGCCCCATGGTGGCGGTGGGGTTATGGTATTGGCAGGCATAATCCACGGACATCGAACACAATTTCATTTTATGGATGACAATGAGATATCGTGATGAGATCCTGAGGCCCATTGTCGTGCCATTCATCCGCCGCCATCACCTTTTCAGCATGATAATGCACGGCCCCATGTCTCAAGGATCTGTACACAATTCATGGAAGCTGAAAATGTCCCAGTTCTTCCATGGCCTGCATACTCACCAGACATGTCACCCATTGAACATGTTTGGGATGCTCTGGATCGACGTGTAGGACAGCGCGTTCCAGTTCCCGCCAATAACCAGCAACTTCGCACAGCCATTGAAGAGGATTGGGACAACATTCCACAGGCCACAATCAACAGCCTGATCAACTCTATGCAAAAGATGTGTCACGCTGCATGAGGCCACGCTGGTGGTCACACCAGATACTGACTGGTTTTCTGATCCACGCCCCTACCTTTTGTTTTTAAAGGTATCTGTGACCAACAGATGCATATCTGTATTCTCAGTCATGTGAAATCAATAGATTAGGGCCTAATTTATTTATTTCAATTAACTGATTTCCTTTTATGAACTGTAAGTAATTAAAATCTTTGAAATTGTTGAATGTTGCGTTTACATTTTTGTTCTGTTGTTTTTTCTGTTGTTCAGAAAACTTGGGGGGCCAAATAAAATCTGCGGGCCGCCAGTTAGGAATCCCTGGTCTATGGCCTCTGTGGATGCTTGACAGTGTTGTTGTCTTTGGGGTCTAGTTACAGTAAAGCACTTTGTGATAACTGCTGATCTAAAAAGAGCTTTATAAATACATTTGATCGATTAGTTGATTGATTAATTGATTGACTGCCTCTCGCACAGCTTCCTCAGTGACCTGGAGCGCGTCACTCAGGCTGACTTCACCCCCAACGACCAGGACATCCTACGGTGCAGGATCAAGACTGGCGGGGTCAACGAGGAGAGGTTCATCTGCAAAGATGTCAAATTCAGGTGAGCTACAGTAGCTAACTACCTGGCTGCTACATGGCTACCTAGATACCTGGCTGCCTTGTCACAGTACATTATAGTTCACCTGCAAAGATGTCAAATTCAAGTGATGTAGTGTAACTGGTGCGATTGAACCAGCGACTTCTTACCGGCAAACCCAACACCTTAACCATTAGACCAGGGTTCTCCAATCCTGTTCCTGGAGAGCTACCCTCCTATAGTTTCTCTCCAACCCTGTTCCTGGAGAGCTACACTCCTGTAGGTTTTCACACCAACCCCAGTTGTAACTAACCTGATTCAGTTTATCAACCAGTTCATTATTAGAATTAGGTGGACTAGATTGGGATTGGAGCGAAAACCTACAGGAGGGTAGCTCTCCAGGAACATGGTTGGAGTGAAAACCTACAGGAGGGTAGCTCTCCAGGAACATGGTTGGAGTGAAAACCTTACAGGAGGGTAGCTCTCCAGGAACATGGTTGGAGTGAAAACCTTACAGGAGGGTAGCTCTCCAGGAACATGGTTGGAGTGAAAACCTTACAGGAGGGTAGCTCTCCAGGAACATGGTTGGAGTGAAAACCTTACAGGAGGGTAGCTCTCCAGGAACATGGTTGGAGTGAAAACCTTACAGGAGGGTAGCTCTCCAGGAACATGGTTGGAGAGCCCTGCATTAGACCAAGAGAAAATCCTTGTGATCCGAGAGCAGCATTTGGCCTTACAAGGCTGTGTTTACACAGGCATCCCAATTCTGATCTTTTTTTCACTACTTGGTCTTTTGACCAATCAGATCAGCTCTTTTGCCAATAACTGGGCAAAAGATCAGAATTGGGCTGTGTCTGTAAACACAGCCCAACTTAAGGCAGGGCTACGTCTTAACGAGAGCGTGATTGCAAATCACCTCTCTCTGCTTCACCAGCTACCTGGCTGCCTGGTCACAGGACTGTCTTTACTGTAGAAACGTATAGTAGTGTGTGCATATATTTTAAGTATTTGTATGCGATTCCTGCTGGAATTGAACCATCAACCTTTGTTTTTCGCAAGTGCCACGCTCTCACCATTTACACCAACTACGTGTAAAAAGCACACACACTGAAGGAGCTCATGGTGACAAAGTACTGTAGTTACTAACCGCTCCTCTCCTGTAAAAAGGCCTTTATAATTGATTGGTTAACTGATTGATTGCTGTGTCTCTCTGATGGACAGGATGTTTGATATGAGCGGTAGAAGAGAAGAGAGGAAGAAGTGGATCCACTGTTTCGAGGGCGTCCATTGCATCCTGTTCTGTAGTGCCCTCAGCGCATATGACCTGGTGCTGCTGGAGGACGACGAGATGGTGAGTGTTTACACACACACACACACACACACACACACACACACACACACACACACACACACACTTCAAACTAAGATGAGGGAGGAGACGCTGATATGCTTCAACCACACCGTATTGCAAACCTCACCGGCTAGTGCTGGCAGCTAGCTAGTGGAGCTTGACTGTTTTGTAGCCCGACGATGATGATGATGGTGATGAATCCTTCATTCCTCTTCTGCCCTTCTCTCCTCTTTTCAGAACCGCATGCACGAGTCTCTCCATCTATTCAACAGTATCTGCAACCACAGGTTCTTCGAGGACACCACCCACGTGCTTTTCCTCAACAAGAAGGACGTCTTCCAAGAGAAGATCAAGCATGTCCACCTCAATGTCTGCTTCCCTGACTACGACGGTGAGTCCTACTCTTGAGTCCCAAATGGCAAAAAGTTGTTTTCCATGGCCTTTTGACCTTTCTCACTCGATTAAAACACAATAATAAAACCAATCTTATTCCATTTTTACATTTACATTTTAGTCATTTAGCAGACGCTCTTATCCAGAGCGACTTACAGTTAGTGAGAGCATACATTCTTTTTATTTTTTTATACTGTCCCCCCGTGGGAATCGAACCCACAACCCTGGCGTTGCAAACGCCATGCTCTACCAACTGAGCTACATCCCTGCCGGCCATTCCCTCCCCTACCCTGGACAACGCTGGGCCAATTGTGCGCCGCCCCATGGGTCTCCCGGTCGCGGCCGGCTACGACAGAGCCTGGATTCGAACCAGGATCTCTAGTGGCACAGCTAGCACTGCAATGCAGTGCCTTAGACCACTGCGCCACTCTGTCAAACACATAAAGAGGCCAGCAACTGGTCTCTGATCAGTTTTTACAGCTCTCTTCTCATCTCCCTATAGGGTCTAACACATACGAAGACGCCAGCAACCACGTGAAGTTGCAGTTTGAGTCTCTGAACTTGAGGCAGGCGGAGAAACCCATATACACCCACATCACCTGCGCTGTAGACACACAGGACGTGGACCAGGCCTTCAACGCCATCACAGACGTCATCAAGACCAACCTAAAAGACGCCGGGCTGTTCTGAGCAGCTCCTGACTGAAGGTACAGGATCGACTGCCTTTATTACTGCCTGACGCATTCACTCACGCACACACCTCAGCGCCTAACAGGCAATCACTATGTAGGACCGATATTAGTCCTGTGGCCTCACTATACACACTATAATAAAGGCCTGGCTGAGGACAGACCATCTGCTGACACACTATAATAAAGGCCTGGCTGTGGACAGACCATCTGCTGACACACTATAATAAAGGCCTGGCTGTGGACAGACCATCTGCTGACACACTATAATAAAGGCCTGGCTGAGGACAGACCATCTGCTGACACACTATAATAAAGGCCTGGCTGTGGACAGACCATCTGCTGACACACTATAATAAAGGCCTGGCTGAGGACAGACCATCTGCTGACACACTATAATAAAGGCCTGGCTGAGGACAGACCATCTGCTGACACACTACAATAAAGGCCTGGCTGTGGACAGACAATCTGCTGACACACTATAATAAAGGCCTGGCTGTGGACAGACCATCTGCTGACACACTATAATAAAGGCCTGGCTGCAAATCAATTAAAACAACATGACATGCTTTATTTTGTTTGACATATTTATGTTTCTAATTATTACAGCCTTATTATATTTCTATTACATGTCAGGTCAGACCATAGAAATGTATTACTAGAGCGGACATACCATGGTCTGAGGTGCTTTGTCCCTTCTAGTAATTGAGTTTCTACGGTTCAGACTGTTTGGGATGGCTGAGGGTGAGGAGGCTGGGTGATGAGAATCATATCGCTAACATTGCCTCGACACTATCCCGGTCCCTCCCTACAATATCCCTGTCCCTCCCTCGACACTAACACTATCCCTCCCTCCCTCAACACTAACACTATCCCTCCCTCCCTCAACACTAACACTATCCCTCCCTCCCTCAACACTAACACTATCCCTCCCTCCCTCTACACTAACACTATCCCTGTCCCTCCCTCTACACTAACACTATCCCTGTCCCTCCCTCTACACTAACACTATCCCTGTCCCTCCCTCTACACTAACACTATCCCTGTCCCTCCCTCTACACTAACACTATCCCTGTTCCTCCCTCGACACTAACACTATCCCTGTCCCTCCCTCTACACTAACACTATCCCTGTCCCTCCCTCTACACTAACACTATCCCTGTCCCTCCCTCTACACTAACACTATCCCTCCCTCCCTCTACACTAACATTATCCCTGTCCCTCCCTCGACACTAACACTATCCCTGTCCCTCCCTCGACACTAACACTATCCCTCCCTCCCTCAACACTAACACTATCCCTGTCCCTCCCTCTACACTAACACTATCCCTGTTCCTCCCTCGACACTAACACTATCCCTGTCCCTCCCTCTACACTAACACTATCCCTGTCCCTCCCTCTACACTAACACTATCCCTGTCCCTCCCTCTACACTACACTATCCCTGTCCCTCCCTCTACACTAACACTATCCTGTCCCCTCCCTCTACACTAACACTATCCCTGTCCTCCCTCACCTAACACTATCCCTGTCCCTCCCTCACCTAAAACCTATCCCGGTCCCTCCCTACAATATCCCCTGTCCCTCCCTCTACACTAACACTATCCCTGTCCCTCCCTCAACACTAACAACTATCCCTGTTCCTCCCTCTACACTAACACTATCCCTGTTCCTCCCTCTACACTACACTATCCCCTGTCCCTCCTCTACACTAACACTATCCCTGTCCCTCCCTCTACAACACTAACACTATCCCTGTCCCTCCCTCTACACTAACACTATCCCTGTCCCTCCCTCTACACTAACACTATCCCTGTCCCTCCCTCTACACTAACACTATCCCTGTCCCTCCCTCTACACTAACACTATCCCTGTCCCTCCCTCTACACTAAACACTATCCCTGTCCCCTCCCTCTACACTAACACTATCCCCTGTCCCTCCCTCTCACTAAACACTATCCTGTCCCTCCCTCTACACTAACACTATCCCTGTCCCTCCCCTCTACACTAACACTATCCCTCCCTCCCTCTACACTAACACTATCCTGTCCCTCCCTCTACCACACGATCCCTGTCCCTCCCTCGACACTAACACTATCCCTGTCCCTCCCTCTACACTAACACTATCCCTGTCCCTCCCTCTACACTAACCAACTATCCCTGTCCCTCCCTCGACACTATCCCCGTCCCTCCCTCGACAGTATCTGTCCCTCCCTCCCTCCCTCCCTCCCTCGACACTATCCCCGTCCCTCCCTCGACAGTATCTGTCCCTCCCCTCCCTCCCTCCCTCCCTCGACACTATCCCCGTCCCTCCCTCGACAGTATCTGTCCCTCCCTCCCCCCTCCCTCCCTCCCTCCCTCCCTCCCTCCCTCGACACTATCCCCGTCCCTCCCTCGACAGTATCTGTCCCTCCCTCACTCCCTCCCTCCCTCGACACTATCCCCGTCCCTCCCTCGACAGTATCTGTCCCTCCCCTCCCTCCCTCCCTCCCTCGACACTATCCCCGTCCCTCCCTCGGACAGTATCTTGTCCCCTCCCTCCCTCCCTCCCTCCCTCGACACTATCCCCGTCCCTCCCTCGACAGTATCTGTCCCTCCCTCCCTCCCTCCCTCCCTCGACACTATCCCCGTCCCTCCCTCGACAGTATCTGTCCCTCCCTCCCTCCCTCCCTCCCTCCCTCGACACTATCCCCGTCCCTCCCTCTACACTAACACTATCCCTGTCTTTCCCATATTGTTTCTATTCATGGTTTATTTTTCGTCATTAGCCTCCCAAAGTACCATTAAACAGACCTCAGGGCTCTATTTCATTCAGCTTTGCAGGAGACTGCTGCATATGTCGGCGGAATCGGAAATTACATTTACTATCGCGGACACTAATGCTTCAGCTTTACAGTTTGACTAGAGCCCCTAATTAAGCAATGGTTTTCTCAAAACAAAATGTGGTCAAATAAACATTAGACCAGCTGTGGGCATTGCAACTGCAGTCTTGGAGCGTGTGTGCTTTTGTTCCAGTTTGGGTGACCAAAACAAACTGAATTTGCATGATTGATCTATGACAAAAGTAGCATTCACAAAGGCACAACAGATTTTCAAAATATATAATGTATAAATGTATAAAAGGTGACGTATTAAATGTATAAAAGGTGACGTATTAAAGGTGACGTATTAAAGGTGACGTATTAAATGTATAAAAGGTGACGTATTAAATGTATAAAAGGTGACATATAAAAGGTGACGTATTAAAGGTGACGTATTAAATGTATAAAAGGTGACGTATTAAAGGTGACGTATTAAAGGTGACGTATTAAATGTATAAAAGGTGACGTATTAAAGGTGACGTATTAAATGTATAAAAGGTGACGTATGAAATTGAGTTCCTATTTTCTTACTCTCTCCAGAACTTCCATCACCCAACTCATTGGTTTTATTTGGGCACTGCGCTGGAGGAGGTGGACAGTTGGCGGACAACTCTTTATCTGCTGTCCTCGTCACCACCACCGAGCCCTGGTTCCTCGGATGCTCCCTCGACATCAACAACATCATCATCATCATCATCATCAAGTCCATTGGGTTGAAAACAGAGTATCAACATTTAACATTTTTGTTGAAAAAACAAACAAACAGGCTATGCAGCAGGCAACGTGCTCTTCCTTGCGCGAGGCATTGGACAGCACTTAAATTGTGTAATGTACCTTTAAACCCCCTGAAGCTAGTATTTTTGTTTTTACCTTTAGTAGTCTCCTGTTGTCTCGTTTTAACTTGTAAAAAGTTACGAAGTTACCAGCAGATATTTGAAAATTCTCATCTATTTTTAATTTTGATCTGTTTTAATAGCATAAACGGTGTATTGTGAGACAAAAGCTTATTACACTTTGTAAATAAGATTAGACCAAACCAATATATATCTTATGTGCTGTGAGAAATTGACAGTTTTGAATATTACGTTTGTTCTTTTTTAGACATAAAATAAAGATGGATAGACTACTCTGTACTCTTGTTTTGGATAATTAAAGATTACTCAGACAGTACTGCCACAGATTACACAGACCGTACTGCCACAGATTACGCAGACAGTACTGCCACAGATTACACAGACAGTACTGCCACAGATTACACAGACAGTACTGCCACAGATTACACAGACAGTACTGCCACAGATTACACAGACAGTACTGCCACAGATTACACAGACAGTACTGCCACAGATTACACAGACAGTACTGCCACAGATTACACAGACAGTACTGCCACAGATTACACAGACAGTACTGCCACAGATTACACAGACAGTACTGCCACAGATTACACAGACAGTACTGCCACAGATTACACAGACCGTACTGCCACAGATTACACAGACCGTACTGCCACAGATTACACAGACAGTACTGCCACAGATTACGCAGACAGTACTGCCACAGATTACACAGACCGTACTGCCACAGATTACGCAGACAGTACTGCCACAGATTACACAGACAGTACTGCCACAGATTACACAGACAGTACTGCCACAGATTACACAGACAGTACTGCCACAGATTACACAGACAGTACTGCCACAGATTACACAGACAGTACTGCCACAGATTACACAGACAGTACTGCCACAGATTACACAGACAGTACTGCCACAGATTACACAGACCGTACTGCCACAGATTACACAGACCGTACTGACACAGAGGAAATAAACTGTTGTTTTGCAGCACAACAATTTAGGGTTGGAGTCAATTCCATTTCAATTCCAGTCAATTCATGAAGTACACTGACATTTCTAATTCCAATTCTCGTCAATGCTTTTCAAAGTGGAATTGGAATTTTGTTTACTTTCTGAATTGACCTCAACACTGCTACTATTCCTCTTCTGCTTGACCTGCTGTAGACTTTACATTTGTGAGAGCAGAGTGGACGGACTAAACGCCTTGGATAGACACAATCGAATCGGAACCCTGTGACGACGACGACGACAGTCGAGTCGTACACAATTATATCACA